TCTTTTTTCTGTGAGCAAGTCAAATGAGAAAAAAGTAAGTGAGAACTGTTGAGAAGTAGTAATATTTAAGCTGCTGTATTAGAGAAAACAGTATGGACATTTTATCTTTCTATAATGTATAAATGGCAGTAGCACTAGATTTTAAGCTATGGTAAGGCAAATAGATGACTTCTCTGCTCTAACTTGTAGACCCTGGTATAGGTAATCAATAGATAAGTCGCCTTTATAACTCAGTAACTGAATGACCTATTCCAGTTTCAATTTTAATTACCCTCTCACAAATTGAATGTTTGAGGTTAGAAGACTTTTCATTGAAATAAAAATATTGGCTTTTTTCCCCTTGGTTGGGACATAAAAGTTTATATGACTAGACATAAGCTGAAAAGGATTTCCATAGATCCTAGAAATTTGGCCAACTGGACATTTCTAAAATCATTATTTTTCTTTGGAAACTATTGTTTAGAACCATATAAAACTGCTGATAGTCACCAGTTTTTGACCTAGGAGGTGACAATTTCATGACATTCTCTGTAATCATACTAATTGATTATATAGTTTAAATTTGGGGATATACTTTAGTTGCTTTGTTTCTGTATATAAGCTTATTTCACCAAATAAGCGATTTCCTTTTCTTACTCAAGAAACATTTACTGAACACATATTACACAGCAGTTACTGGGGTATGCATGCCCATGGAATGGAATAGGTTGCCTGTCCCACTGGGGCATGCAGTCTAATGAGGCAGAAAGACACATGAGCAAGCAAGTACAATATGGAAAACTAGCACAGTGGTTGATAGTTGCTCAATAAATGTTCTTTCCCTTCCCCTCACATTGGACATAGAAGTACAATGTGTTAAAGGAACACAAAAAAGTGAGTCTCTAGAAATTTAAACAACCTTGGAAGGATTCATTACAGAAAATATCTCCTTTTTTCCTTAAAGTGTTTTGTTAAAAGACCGTGTAATAGGCAGATCACTAGCCTAAGGCTTCAAATATTTGACTTCTTATATAAACTCTTATCACATATTAGGACTTTTTTTAAACCTTAATCACATTATTTTTCTTATACTTTAACTTTTTTAACTGCAAAATGAAAAATTGTAGTCTCATTTGCCTTCCTCCCATATTTGTTGAGGGACAGATAGCATAATGCACATGAAACAATTTTTCAAATTTTAATTTACAATATTAACAAAAGATAGAATCTTCATCATCATCTTCCTTATTACTAGTCTTGTTTTCAACAAGACCTTTTAACAAAGTGCTATGTAAAAAATCAAGGAGGATTATCACCTTGATTTGTATATTCCCAAGTCCAGGCTTAATTATATATTTGCGAATAAGTACCACATTTGGCCTTAAATAATCATTTTAGAAAAGAGGATGAATTGTTTAGCCATTAGTGTTTCGAGCAGGGCTCAATAAACAGTGGATGAAGGGTCTGCTGATAGCAGATGGATAATTATGTTCAGCATTTTTTAAATGAAGGAGAATTCAGAAAAATATATATAATTCAGAGAAATTAACTCTCAGATAATAATAATTCCCATTATTAAAGAAAGCATGATAAGCCAGGCTTGTTGGTTTATGGATATCATTTCATTTCAGGTTTAGAACAACCTTTTGAAGTTGATTCTATTATTATCATCACTCTAATTTTACAGATGAGGAAATTGAAACCTAAAATATAACTTTCTGCAAGTCACAAAATGACTATCTCTGATGATAGTTTGATGATAGAATTTATGAACTTAACAGCTGTACTTTGGCTGTATTTTTTGCAGCCTTGATCTAGCAACATTCACTACCCCTAGGTTTATACTCTTTCCTACTTAGTAATCCTCATTTTCTCCAGAAAAGCCCACAAGGAAGGCACTCAGCTCTCTGAGCTTTAGTTTCCTCACGTATGAAATTGTGCTACTGTTGGAAATTCATCAATAAACAAATCATATAAACTCTATTTCCTGGGAACTCATATTCTTGTTGGAGGAGAGAGAAAATCAATGAATGTGTACCTATTATCCCTAGTTTTGAGATGCTTTATCAAGAGAAATAAATGTTTTAAGAAGCATAGCCAGAGAAGACTTCTCTGAACAGGTTTAGCAGAGCCCTAAAGGAAGTGAGGAAGCAAAGTGTACAGGTACTTGCATGAAAGGTAGCACTACTGTCATGGAGTGCAGACATGGGTATAGGTCTCTCTGGGTGAAGGGCATTCCAGGCAGAGCAAACAGCATATACAAGGTCCCTGAGAAAGCACTGTGCTTGCAGAAACAATAAGGAGCCAGTGTGATGGTCAGAGTGGAGTGAGTAGGAGCAACAGTTGTAGGAAAATGAAATCAAAGAAGTAGGAGAGATGCAGAAAAAAATATTACTGGCCATTAGGGCTTTAATATTACTCTGAGTGTTGTGAGAAGACCTTGAGCACTGAGAAGGAATATGATCTGACTTTAATTCAAATAGGATCCCTCCACTATGTGGAGAAATTAGAAGCAGGGAAACCAGATATTAGACCAGGCTATGGAATTCTCCAACTATCCAGAGAGAAACTGGACCAAGACAGAGCAATAGATGTGTCTGGAGAAGAAACCAGAATACTGATATATAGAATTTTCAAAGCATAGGTGAGAGGAAATAAAGGGGATAAGGTGTAGATATAATCCAAAAAGAGAAGGTATGAGACCAAAAAAAAAAAGTTTAAAGGTAGACTTTGTTCTGAGCTCCTGGAAACATCATTCCTGAAATGGTGCTTGGTACACAGTAAGAGCTTAAAATGTTTAGTCGTATGAATGAATGCAATTGCCATTAGAAAAGAAACCTTTGTCGGGTTAAATAGAAATGAAGAGTCTGATTATAGACAGGTTGATTTTTGAAGCCTCCAAATGGAGGTCTTGAATAAGCAGTAGTATATACAAGTCTGCAAGCCTGTTGGAGATTTCGGTTTGGCAGTCTTCAGTTTATAGGTGGTGTTTAAAAGCATTATACGATCACCTAGAGAGAGAGTATAGATAAATAAGATGTCCGCTGATTTGAGACCTGGGGTGCTCCAAGACTCATTGGCCTGTGAGACGAGACACAACCAGCAATGGATGTTCAGCAAAGTTATCACTGAAGCAAGAGGGGGAGCAAGGGAGTTGTTTCCTAGGATCCAAGTGCAAAAGGTGTTTCAGAAAGGACCGAGTGATCATTATGCCAAATATTAATAACTTTTGCATAATATGAAAATTGAGAATTGGCTATTTGATTTAGCAATAAATATGTTTTCACCTCCTGCCTTTTCTTTGCCTCTCTACACACACTGTTACCTACCAACTTCCTCTAAAGTTTTTAAAATCCCAGGCACATTAAATTACGATTCATATTTCATATATCCTACTGAAGGGTAGTTAATGCTTCTTGAAACCATGAGATTTGGGAAAACATTTTATAAAATTGACCTTTTTTTTTTTTTTTTGGAGACAGAGTCTTGCTCTGCTCCCCAACTAGAGTGCAGTGGTGTGATCTTGGCTCACTGCCACCTCCACCTACCAGGTCCAAGCAATTCTCCTGCTTCAGCCTCCTGAGTAGCTGGAACTACAGGCATGCAGCACCATGTTGGCTGACTTTTGCATTTTTAGTGGAGACAGGGTTTTGCCATGTTGGCCAGGCTGGTCTCGAACTCTTGACCTCAGGTGATCTACCCACCTTGGCCTCCCAAAGTGCTATGATTACAGGTGTGAACCACTGTGCCCAGCTGAGTTATACATTTATTTTAAGCCTATGGACAGAAAATCCACAGATTATTTCTAAAATAAATTTTGATCCATTCAGTTTTACTTGCAATAATGATGCCATTTGTGATATATTGCTATATTCAATATATATATATATTCAATATATATAAATATATATTCTATATATAAAATATATATATATTCTATATATATATGTGTGTATATGTGTGTATATATATATTTATATATATATATATATATATATATAAGCACTTTTATTTACACTGTCTATTCCAAATAAAATCATCTAATACAGTAAAATGCCCAGCAGTGAAATCTATGCTGTCAGATTGTACCACCTGCTAACAACTTGTTGGAGTCAGCCATAGTCTGGGCTTCACTCCTTCATAATCCTTGAAGATTTTAACATCTGCCTCCCTGTTGTTCTCTCCATACTTACCCTGGATAGACTTCTTGGTGATTTCAATATCCATGTCAGTCGCTTGATCTTGATTATTGTGAGGGATCTTTCTATCTGCAGTTGCTCTGGGTCTCCTCTTTGTACAGTCTGTACCAACTGTATTTCCAAGGTTAGAAGACCTGTATTTGTTGGAATTACAGAAAGTTTCTTTTACTTCATTATACTTTGTAAAATGTGAGCTCTAGCTCTTAGGATCTCTTTGCTTTAAGTACTATGTGTGGCCCTCAGTCTCAGATTCTAACTTTTATTCTGCCAGGGCCAAAGGAGTAGTGGGGTGGGATGAAAGATGTGTAGTGAGAGGAAAGATTTTATATCTTTTTTGTCTGGGGATGTGGTGGTGGGGAGGGGGCAATATCAAATAGAGTTTGTAACAGATGCCTATGTCAAACACTTAACATCCCATTTGACTTTAGTAATTGAGTTTTCTATTTAACTCTTTCCTATCCATCACGATAATGCATTATCTGCTTTAATCTTATGAGGTGGTTCTTATCAGGACACTAGGTCAGACAGAAAATGTGACTTACTTAAGGTCATGTATCTAATAAGTCAGAACCAAGTATAGACTACATTTCTTCTGAATCCAAATGCATTTTTTATTGGCATTAAAAAATGCATTGTTCAAAAGAGTAGTTAGGAGAGTTGCTTTGGCTTTCTGCCCAGGTTAGTGTTAAAATACAGTGGCAATTCAATAAATGTCACCAGTGGTGTCTGTAGTGGTGGCTGTAGTGGTGACAGATCAAGAAATGCGCTGAATTATTCTAATGGATGCTTTCTTTTCTCTCTCTCTATTTTTTTTTTTTTTAGATTGGCAAACACACTGCCTATTTACAGCATAGAGACCCCACTGGAGAGCTAGGTGGGTGATGATTCATGCTAAATCTTTCCCACAATATGCTGAACACTACAACTGCAGCTAATGTGCAATGACTCATTATACACTGTCAAATCTGATAACAGCAAGACTGGCTTTGCTAATGCGAGCAATTTGTGGGAAGTCCAGCTACTGCAAACCACTACTGAATTCCAAAAAATAAGCTGCAATATAGTAGAAAAGACATATCCACTGAGTCATATTTGCAAATTTCTTGTGTTTCTCTTTGCCAGTTTAGAAACAGCCTCATGTTCCCTGCTTGACTCCAGAGATGACTTTCCTTGGGATTCACTTATCTTGTGAGTGCCTCCTCATTCAGTCATATTTTATGGGCTAAATATTTTATGAGGGTATTCGTGGCTGATGGACAGAACTGGAAATGTGGTTGTCCCATGGAAATATTTCTGAAGCTTACTCTTCACACCACCATCCTCCAGCAAACGATGCCATACACATAAATACATTTACCTACTGTAGCACAGTTTCCATGAGTGGTAGTTCTATCTGCAGAGAGAAAAGGCAGCAGGAGGCAGGAACCCTGACTCTTTGCTCTATGATTTATTGTATCTTCACTAAACTGTAATCTCCTTGACGGCAGGATTCTGAACCTGTTTATTACTTAGCACCTATGAGCCATAGTTGGTCCTCTATATTTATTGGCAAAATTAATGCACTTCCTTCCAAAAACTTTATTATTAAAGCAGGAACTGGGGTTTAGCCTTCTTGCCTCCCATGTCCCTCATACAGTGCCTGATACATAATGAATGGAAAACTACATGTTTGTCTAGTGAAAGAACAAAGGTAGAAATGAGTCCATCAATTAGATGGTTTCCTGCAGCCAAAGTAATACCTAAGCAAGTGATGTTCAACCATCAGAGATAGAACAATGATGGCTTCAAATCATGTTTCTTCAGACCACCAAGAACAATGCCCTAAAAGTAGTTGTTTATTTTGGAAGGCAAAAGCTAATCTGAACAGTTTTATTTTTATATTCAAATGCCTATAGACCAGAAAAACATCAAAGACCTATTCATGGCTCACAAATGATCTATGGGGCAATAATGTGCTTGCTTTTCCAGCTGTACTGCACTTTGGTGCTTTCTTGGGTTTAACTGAAAATATGCCGGGACCTTGGTTTTGTTCACTGGGCATGTGCGGGTATAATTGGCATGAGGCCTCTGAAGAATTCCCTTGTCACGAATGTCATTTGGCTAATTTGGGGTTCGCCTGAAGGAAATAATGTGTTAAGTCCTGTTAAAAAAAAAAAAAAACAAGATGCATTTATTCACATGCAATGCACATGAAGTTAATTTAGAAAAGAAATCAACTTTTTATTTTGCCATATGATAATGGTATTGTCCCTAACAGTCTCATGTTTCATCATAATTAAATAAACAGCTTGTGAATTGCAGTCCAAAAAATGTCTGTGTTCCACTCCTAACTTAAGGGGTTTCCATAGAAACTGTGAGCAGCAAGTTTAACTGACATTTATTGGACTTGAGGCTATATGCAGCATTGATACCTCTCTATTTTTCTCTCTAGCACTCTGTGTATGTGTCTTCTTTTCTTCCTTTAACCCTCCCAAACTCTTTTCCCCTCAGTTCTCGCCTCCTCCTCCTCCTCTTCCTCCCTCTTTCTCTTATTAGCTATGAGGAAGTAATTTGGACTTAGTTAGATTTAACAAATGCAATAATACTCAAATGGACTCTGATACTTAAGTGTAATTGTGTTATTAGCTGGAAATGTTTTTCTTCAAAAATGAAAGAATTGGGAGTGAAGTTTACTAAGATAGCACACATTGGTAAGAAAGAACTCTTGGCTGTCACTTGAAAGTTTGTAGTCTGTGTATCATAATCCACATTCATATCCAACTGTGGCCTGCTTTCTTTATTCAACCCAGATTGATATTTTTCCTGAGTTCCTATTTTCCTCCCAAAGCAAAAAAAAACACTGTGCTGACCATATTCCAGGAGAAAGCAGGAATTTACTTAGGAAAGATAAAACATACTACATCCTGAGTACCTACTGTGCAACATATATTTTGTTATGTACTTTTACTTATGTTTTCTAGTATACCCTACAAAATTCACTGACAGATAGCATGTGGAAGGAAAATGAATCTGGAGCTGGTGGTTCAAGTTCAGGCCCCACCACAGAGTGCCTGTAAAGCCTTAAACATGGTACCAAGTGCTCTGTCTTGGTTGCTCAAAGACAAAATTGATAGAAGCACTTCTAAGCCATGAGGTTTGGCTAGGATTAGATGTGATACTACAGCTAGTACATCACAGTAGCATTTGTCTTTAGCCCTTTAGAAATGAGGAAAACAAGTTGCCAAAAGAATATGTCATTTAGCCTGGACAACATAGCAAGACCTCATCTCTATTAAAATATTTTAAAAGTAGCCAGGTTTGGTAGCATGTACCTGTAGTCCCAGCTAATGTGGAGGGAGGCTGAGGTAGGAGGATCACTTGAGCCCAAAAGTTCAAGGTTACAGTAAGCTATGATTGCACCACTGCACTCCAGCCTGAGTAATAGAGCAAGACTCTGTCTCTTAAAAAAAAAAAAAAAAAAAGTCACTTACCCAAATTTACATAGCTAGCAGAAGATATGTCTACACAGTACAGTGTCTAAAAGGAGGTGGATTTGGACAGCTAGTTGTGTGATTTGGGTTAAGTGACATACTTACAGAGTATCTGGCTTCTCATCTGTATAACAGGAATAATGTTCTTACTTCATGGGGTTGTTGGGTGGATTAAATAAAACTGTGTATGTAAGTTAGTGCCTGTCATATGGAAAGCACACCATGTTCTTTGAGCTCTCAGTCTCCTTCCCTCCCCTCACTTTTCTGATTTGTTTTGGTTTTAGTATGACTTCAAAGTTTAAAAATGATTGATCCCCAAAGTCTATCTAATACTTACTTATAGTTTAAAATTATCTTACAATGCACCAACTATCTCAAGTTATCCAGACAACAATGCAAAAGGAAAGACAGATACTACCATACACATTTTATAGGTTAGGAAAAAAGAGAGATCTTTAATATAGCAAATGAGGAAACTGAGGCTTTACCTAATTCCCCAGGGTCCTTTTTATAATTCCAATTCCATTATTCTTAATTTGGATCCTATGTTCACAGGTTTTAAAGGCTGAAACCCAATAGATATTCACTCCTCTTTCTAATGAACGTGAACGGAAGACACTAAGTGAAGAAAAAGGGAAGGAAGCAAGGAGAAGGTAGTCTCTTGCAATCCTGTTTCCAAGTCATTCTTCTTGGATCTGAAGAGACATGTGGAAATGTAATTCTCAATTTCAGGGATAAATGAAGCAGTGACTTTGTGCAGCAATATTCCTAGGGTTGCTGACTGGAGAAAAGGGGTGAAGAGAAAAAGCAAAAAAATAAAAAAATCCAGATATCAATCAGAGATGTTGATTGATACATGGCAAATTTGTTACTAGGTAGAGAAAGCAAGACTGCAGCTAGGACAAGAGTCTGATAGGACATGATTGCTGGCAAAAGTGATAGTTCCTATTCTCTCTCTCTCTCTTTTACACACACACACGTGCCCACATGCATACATAGGTGTACAGGTTTAATCAGAATAAACACTTATTTAAATAATAATGTTGTGGTTTCAAAGAGCTCATATTGAAGATAAAAATGATAGCTCAATCTTTTTTTGTTGTGTGCTTATACTTGCCTTATTATTAGAATATCGATTCTCAAGAAAAGCAAAAACAAAAGAAAATTGATTCTGTGTTATCTTTGGAAGAACCTTAAGCTACTGTGTCCATTTTGTGAGTGCCAGTTCAGTTAAAATAAGTAATATAATCTCTAAAGCCAATTATTCCACCACACAGAAATAACAGTACGTCACAGTGTACTGAAAGTGTAATTAAGTAATGGTGCCACGGGCAAGCCCTGTTTTGGAACTCCCACTTTTATCCAGGATTCCCTCCATAAGTTATATGAGGCATAGCAGCATTGCCAAATTAGTGAAGCTGAATTTCTTCACTAGTTTTTAGATGAAAGTTAATCACAAATAGAAGTTTTCATATTGTCTTCCATGTCCTCACAGGTCATCCTGGGATTGAAGAGAGTAGGTAAGAAAAGTGGGATGGATGCTGTAGCAGACATTTTATAGGGGATCAGGTGGTAAATATTTTAGGCTTTGCAAGCCATATAGTCTATCACAACCACTGGGTTCTGCCCTTCAATGTAAAAGCAGCCATAGACAATGCTTACATGCATGGGTGTAGAAGTCTTCTAATAAAACTTTACTTACAAAAACTGCGGTGGTGAGCCCGATTTTGCCTATGGGCAATAGTTTCCAAACCATTCATCTTGGAGTTTTGCTTATATCTCCATCCTTCTTCTAGTTCTGTTCGCATGTCAGGTACAGCTTAAAAAATGGCATTAAGGAGTGCAGGAATGATAGCTACATCCTAATTTACCCTAATTTTATGGATTTTACTTTGTATACACTGATTTCTTATTAAACTTTATTTTTCTGGTATGCCTTTGGCATAGAAAGAACACATATTCTGTCTTCACTTTACAGATGGGTACAGAAAGTTTACTTAACTTGCATTATTGGGCTTGCATGGTGGCTCACACCAGTAATCTCAGCACTCTGGGAGGCCAAGGCGAGCAAATCAGGAGGTCAGGAGATATAGACCATCCTGGATAACATGGTGAAACCCTGTCTCTACTAAAAATACAAAAAAATTAGCTGGGAGTGGTGGTGCACATCTGTAATACCAGCTACTTGGGAGGCTGAGGCTGAAGAATCGCTTGAACCTGGGAGGCGGAGGTTGCAGTGAGCCAAGATCGTGCCAGTGCACTCTGGCCTGGGCGACAGAGCAAGACTCAGGCTCAAAAACTAAAAAAATGAATAAACAACTTGCATTATTGTCACCCAACATCTCTCATATCCATATTAGAATCTGACTGTCAGCCCTGTGCTTTTTCAATTGGATTATCTTTTAAAAATGTATCCTTTCGAGAATAAAGACATGGTGGGAAAAGTAAGTAAAAAGTAATTTTCACCATCCAAATCAAGGAAACATAGTTAATAATGGTTTAAATAGGAGCATGCACAGGCTTCCCTACTTTCTTTTCCCATTATGATACCATAAGGACCTAGTTCCTTACTGCTTTTAATGTATAGCTCTATTTTTTTCCCATGAAATATTTTTGCAAATGATGCATTGCAGCCAAAGTGAATACAGAAAAATATAGGGAGTTTTTTTTTACTTTCCATGGTACCGTGTTAACTGAAGCTCATTCATTTTGGAATTG